ATATATATATATATATATACACACACACATTATATTATATATTTTATATGCAGACCAAGACAATTCCTCTTCACTCAATGACTGTTTTAAATGGAATGTTGGTTCAAGTAAAAAATTTTTTTAATCAAAATCATTTCCAAGGTGAATATGTTTACTGGACAGTCTTCAAATATCTTGGTCACTAACAAAGCAAAATCTTTTTGAAGTTTCACTCAAGCAATCCAGTCCCTTTTAACCCTAAAAACTTTCAGCCACCTCTAGAAGTATAGTGCAATACAAATATAGGTCGGGGAAAGCCTTATTTGTGAGATTTGAAAAATAGACCTTGCATTCTAAAATAACTAAGAAAAAGTACATAATATAGTTCTAGCAATTCGATAGAAGATCTGAGAATATTAATGCAGGAAGCTGAAAACTAGAGGGAAAAATCCTTTCTTGTTAAGGAAGCTGCTAGTCTTTGGTCAATAGGGGGCGTATTTGCAATCGCAGCGTTCCCGCCTTGGTTTCACTTGAAATCTCGTTTCATCTTCGAGATTTTAGGTTTATCTCGTCTGGCTGCACCGATTCGCCGGCCGCCGTTTTGCGCATGCGTACTGTTGCCCAAAGAGATGTCCTTTGTAAAAAACGTGCGGTTTCCAATAGCAGGCGATGGTATTTTCCGTTTGCCAAGCAATAAAGCAGTGAACCAAGACTGTTTCAAGGAATTCCTTGAAAAACAATGCAGAAGGAGGCAAGCGTCGCCAGCTTGGGTGGTTTTGGCTATAATAATAATTTGTCCCGCACCCTGAGGTACCGCATGAGAACCGGAAACGAAGGTTGCGTGAAACACATCCAATCGAATCTCATTGGTTTTCGTTTGATCACCTTCAACAGGGTTTCTTCTGCGCATGCGACATTGGCTTTTCCCGGCATCCTCAGCGCACTATAAATATCAGCGTCTGGGGGGATTTCGTTCTTTCTTTGGCACGTGGCGGAAGGAGGTGAGTTGGGTTGATGGGATCTCTCGCTAAATAGGGCGGTGGCGGCAATCGCATAGTTAACATTGTATTAACATAAAAGATTACGTAGGATTTCACATCCAGAATTATTAATGTACTTATTAACTTTATGCCCTTCCCGACCCATAGCGGTTTCGGGAGGCTTTAGATAGTCGTGCATCGATAGCAACAATTGCAGTGGCCGTTAAAAATTGCACGAATGAATGAAGGCTCGACCTTATAAGAGGCTTGAAGGAGAGGCAGTTAGAAGTCCTCTATTTTTAATTAAGGTAACTTCATGGAGTCTTGAAGTAAAAAAGGGCGAAGTGAATCCTACACAGCCCATCCCCAAATTAGAATTAAAATATATATTTCTCCCCCCCGCCCTTTCCCATGCGGAAGTGATGGGCAAAACTGATCGGATTATGTCTGTTGGATATTTTAGTTGAATTGGTACTGCAAGTCTTTTTAAAGGGAATAGATTCTGAATTATTTGAAATAATTCAGTAATTAATATATTAATGATGAGCTTAAAGCAAGTTGAGTTATTTCTTCAGTCTAACTCTTATGTGTGCCACATTGATTAAAAGAAAAGTTCTTATGAAAGTTTGCTTAAAGTTGAGCTTTAATGTGCTCAGAAGTTGTGATAGTGCACAATTATGTACATGGCATTGTTGAGTTGTGTCTTCATTATTTATAGAACTACTTACAATCTTATCTGGGTTTGCACATTTTAAGCATAAACTATAGTTCCCAAATCAGCTTGGCTGTATCTGTAAATATGTTATGGCTAAACAAATCATGGCGTGCCATTGTTTACAGACTCATTTCTAATGTGCTATATGCATTGCTTAGTGCCAATGGTGGTTGCATTAATTTCTAATGTAAGTTTTATTGCAGGGAAGGTCTTCGTTTGTTTGATGTTGAAAATACAGTTTAGCTCAAAGATGAAGACTTTGAAACATAAAGGTATTGATAATTTTCTTTTATTTTTTAAGTTTTGATGGATAGCTGTCTAAAACTGGTTCCAGCCTCCAACTCAGCTTATTTTTTTTTTAAAAAGACCTAACTGCTCAAAAATAATGTACTTGTGCCTAAGTAATTTCCAGATTGCAAAGCTTAATTAAGGTAAAAAAATATGGTATCTTCCTTAGTTTAGGAGCAAGGACATTCTTCCCTTGAATAAAAAATTGCCCATAGTAGTAAGTAGTAATTATGTAGTAAACATAATTGGATCCAACAGGGACAGCTGGAGAGGTTGCACTCTCTTAGCTCTGTCCATGTGGCGTATAGGAGCGTAGGCTTCTGCCCTATGACGTATGGTCCCCTTCCACACTGTTGGAGAGCAAGTTGGACCTCCGTGGTCTGCAGCCTGCATATTCCTACTGCTTTTCTGAGTCTTTGGACCATGAAAGAGGAGATAAACCATGCAGGAGACATTCTGTTTGCATCCTCTTCTCGTTCTATGCCTGGGATGTCCAGCCTTGGCTATGTTTTAATACCTTTTGCTTTCTGGGAGTTGGAAGTCCACAGGTCCTAAAATTGTCAAGGTCAAACTCCTGCTCTATGCTTCTCTTCATGTTCCATACTAATATGTTTTTTTTCTTAGTTGTGAGGTTTCTGGATTTTGAACTGGAGTTCCTTAAGTATTTTCATAAAAATGAAAACATGTAGGATTTTATTTTTGTAAGTTGCCTCAAGTTGTTCAACCAACTCTAGATGAAGTACGATATTTACTGAAAACAGCAATAAACCACAACATGGTATAAATGTATTAGTTAATTGGGATCATACTTTGCATGACCTCAAAGGGATGACATTCCTGCTTTGAGTTAATGGTTATTTTTCTACTGAATTGAATTACTGAGATCTGGAGCTATCAAAAATCTATTTCTGGACTCTAAAATATGGTTATTTTTTGTTTGCTTTTCCATGTCAGGTTATTTGAAAGGAGGAAAAACTCCCAAAGCATCCACTGTTCTTGGTATTGCTGTGGAAGAAAAACTACTTGGACCAGGCTTGGAGGAATAAAAATGTTAGACCAAGCAGCATCAGATAGAAAAAAGTCTGGCACTAATGAACCAACCAGAGCACAGGACAACTCAAAGCAAAGCAAGATCAGAAGATGCAGAGAGTTCCGGCCCATAGAATGGCCAAGAGTTTGGCATGACTGAGTGGATAGCATCTTCATGCTGTGCAAAGTAGACTGCAGCAGCAATTACACGGTTGGTTATAGAACAAAACTGGGTCTGTGATTAAACAGTACAAACTCTTTGTGTTACTTGGTTTTTCTATTTGCTGTGAGAACCTGTTTATTTTGTAAATAAGAATAGTTGAGCATCTATGAGCCTACTAACTTGAATTCAGCCAAGCTATGCTTTAACAAACCCTGCTTAACCAAACTTTGGGGATTCTGTTTGATTCCACTGCTGTGACTGGGAGGCTTATGCTGAACAAATTGTGTTGAGAGGAAATGTTAAACAAAACAGGGTGGAACATAATCCCGAATTCCTCTTCCTTTGTCAGTCCTTTTTGTGTAATTACTGAAACTTGATATTTGTGTTTTCCCCTCTTAACATTGGTTTATGGCTTTGTAAAACTTTATATATCTACACACACTTATTAAAGACCAGTACCGTTTATGTAGTTGGTGGGAATGCCCCAATTCCCTCAAAGAATGGCAGTATACAAGAAATTGGGAAAAAAGTACAGACCTGTTTCAGTTAAGTTTCTTCACCCATTGTCAAGTAAGATTTGAAAAACTAACAATGTCACACACTCTGGTTTCTTTTACATGCAGGCAGCCTTCTGGTTTGGTTGAATTCTGCTATTCCTGGAAGATCCTATGCATCTCCTGACACTTGAGGACATATCTTGTTTGCTGTTCCGACCAGTTTCAGATGATGGGACAAGGTTCAATGCTGTGAATCTAATCTGGTTCAAAAGCAGAAGGTATGGGCTTGGCTTGAGCTCTTTTAGCTATACAGGGGCAGGTTGGCATCCCTTGAGCATATAGGTAACAAGTCAATGTTAGCCGAACTTTCAACAATAGAACTTTTAGCACTAGATTGTTTTCCTAGGTGTCATAGACCCCTAGCTGGACTGCAACAAACATGCCATTAACTATAGCCTGGTCATTTATTTCAGGTGTGTTGAAAGACTTAACCAGGAACAAACCTACAACAGTGGTGTTAAAGGCATAGGCTTGCAAGCCGACACATTGAGCCTAGCTCCAGTACTTAAAAACCAAAGTCGGAACTTGGAAGGATACGATCTATGGTGCTTTAGAATTTGGCTGAATCATCCCTTGCTATTTCTGCTGGTGAAAGTGACTGAGAATTTTGGTGTAACCATCTGGATCGGCACAAAAAATGTCCCCTCCCATTAGACAACTTTTGCAAACATAATTGAAGTTACTTTTTCTGGAAGTGTCTATTTGAAAAAATGCTGATTTCTAGAATGGCTGTAATTGCAAGTGATTTTAAAGGCGAGAGGTGGCTTTTTAGAAAACTGTTGGCCGCTTATTTTTTGTGTGTTTCGTTTTATCTTGAGCCACAGCAATCTGAATCATGAAGACTAGCCATGCTTCCAGAAAGGCAGGAATTTGAAAATGAAAATATACCACCAGAAAGAGAAATAATAAGGAAAATAATGGTTTGTGCAAAATCTGATAGACTAACTCTAGAACTGAAAAATAGGGGGGTGGGTGGGAATCAGAATCTTACGATACTTGGAATAAGTTTTATCACTGGTTGCAAAAAAAAATAGGGGAAGGTCGGAACAAAAATAGTTAGGATGAATAGATCTAGAATGAAAATACTGTACCAATTATTTTAATAATGGTTTAGTAATATTTTTATATGTATGGCAGACTAATGCCAAAACGGTTGCACTGTGTTTGATAGTTGTAAACAATAAAAAATATATTAAAACAAAAAAAGGCAGGAATTTGTGGTTCATATAAGAGTCCGGCGGGGACACCTGGAGAGACTGCGGTCTCTTCAGCTCTGTCCATGTGGCGTATGGGAGTGTAGGCCTCCGGGCTCCGTGACATATGGTCCCCTTCCACGCTGCTGGAGAGCAAGTTGGACCTCCGCGGTCTGCAGCCTGCATATTCCTACTGCTTCTCTTGAGTCTCTGGACGGTGAAAGAGGAGATAAACCATGCAGGAGACAATTTCTGCTTGCTTCCTTGTCATTTCTGTATATTCAAATGGTGCCTTTAAAAAACGGTGAAGGAGGAGACAAACTTTTTTTACAACCCAGCAAGAGCCACAGACTGAAGAATGTTAAACTTGCTGTTTTGTGTTTCTAATTGTGCATTTCAGCAGGCCTTTTGAAAGCCCAACCAGGAAGACGGCAGTGGCAACTTGAAATGGTGGGAGAAATATTTTGAAGCCCCCGTTTCTCAGGTACTCAGGTGATGCTTCTCCCCTCAGTGAATTGCTTACATTGTAACAAGCCTCTGAATGGGGATGGTCTTGCAGGATGTCTAGTGAAAGCTTTCCCACCCTCTTTGCTCATGATCAGAATACAGATAGTCTGATCGCTCTCGATTCATGACACAAGGGGACCAGAATTTCTCATGGCACGCAAGGTTGAATGAGTTGGCCTCTTCTACTACCTTTTTTTGGCCACATTAGTGAGTCACCAATTTTAACAATCCAGTCGTCTCCCACCCCACCCCCCTCCCCAATTGACTTGGCTTGTCCAAAGCCAACTGAGAAGGTTGCAAATGACCCTGGGATACTGCAACTATTCACAAACGCTGTTTGCAAAGAATTTTTGTCTGGGGATGCTGCAGTTACAAGGACATAACTCACTTTTCCCCCCAGGGTTGCTATAAGTTTGAACAATCATTAAACTCAAGGTTGTAAATCAAGGACTATCTGTACATTGCTCCAGTGTCCCCCCTTCCCTTCTTGGAGAAATGAGGGTGGTCTCTGATGTATTCCCCCAACAGGGACACCTGGAGAGGTTGCACTCTCTCAGCTCTGTCCATGTGGCGTATGGGAGCGTAGGCTTCTGCCCTATGACGTATGGTCCCCTTCCACACTGTTGGAGAGCGAGTTGGACCTCCGTGGTCTGCAGCCTGCATATTCCTACTGCTTCTCTGAGTCTTTGGACGGTGAAAGAGGAGATAAACCATGCAGGAGACAATTCTGTTTCGCATCCTCCCTTTTCCTTGTTCTGTGCCTACCCTCTGTCCCGCCTTGGGTTCCTGTGGATTTCTAGGAGTTTGGAAGTCCACAAGTCTTAAACTTGACAAGGTTGAGCACCCTCTGCTGTATGCTTTGCTTCATGCTCTATGTCAGGGGGTCCCCAAACTTGGCAACTTTAAGACTTGTGGACTGGAGAGTTCTGGGAGTTGAAGTCCACAAGTCTTAAAAGTTGCCAAGTTTGGAGACCTGCTCTATGTTAATGTGCTTTTTTTCTTAAGCTGTTTTTTCTCATTTCTGGATTTTGAATTGGAGAACCTAATTCAGTTCCTTGCATGTTTTCATAAAATGAAATGAAAAACAGATATAGGATTTTATTTGTACGTTGCCTCAAGTTGTCCAAGTTGTCTAGATGAAGTACAATGTTTACTGAAAACAGCAATAAACCACAAAATTGTATAAATGTATTAGTTAATTGGAATCACATTTTGCATATTTCTGTGTCCTGTGCTTATATGTACAATAGTTACCTTTTGAGAGCTGTGAATGCAACAATTTCATTTTCGTGTATGCTGATTAGTGTACATTTAAAATGACAAAGATTCCATTCTATTCCTATCATATTCTATTCCTCAAGGGAATGAAATTTCTGCTTTTTAGTTATTGGGTATTTTTCTGTTGATTTGAATTACTGAGATCTGGAGCTATCAAAAATCTACTTCTAGACTCTAAAATATGTTTATTTTTTATTTGCTTTTCCATGTTAGGTTATTTGAAAGGAGGAAAAACTCCCAAAGCATCCACTGCTGTATTGCTGTGGAAGAAAAACTACTGGACCAGGCTTGGAGGAATAAAAATGTTAGACCAAGCAGCATCAGATAGAAAGAAGTCTGGCATTAATGAACCAGCAGAGCATAGAACAACTCAAAGCAAAGCAAGCTCAGAAGATGCGGAGAGTCCTGGCCCATAGAATGGCCAAGAGTTTGGCATGACTGAATGGATAACACCCATTCTTGTGCAACGTAGACTGCAGCAGCTTTTGTAGTGTTGGTTATAGCAGGGGTCTCCAAAGCTTTGCTTTGCTGGCTGAGGAATTCTGGGAGTTGAAGTCCGCAAGTTGCCAAGGTTGGAGATCCTTGGGTTATAGAACAAAACTGCACCTGTGATTGGTATTTGTATTGGTAACGGTACAAACTCTTTGTGTTATTCGATTTTTCTTTGTTCACTTTAGTTTGTAAATGATCATGTATTGTTGAACATTGATGAACCTAATAATTTGAATTCAGCTGAGCTATGCTTTAATAAGCCCTGCTTAGCCACATTTTGGGGATTCTGCTTGAGGTCTATGGCTGAGTGGGGCTTAAGTTGTTGAGAGGACCTGTTAAGAACAGGAGGGACATAAACCTGAACTGCCTTTCAGAGTCCTTTTTATACAGTATATTACTGGAACTTAATAATCGGGTATGTTGTGTTTTCCCCTCTTAACATTGTTTTATGGCTTTGCAAACCTTTATGTATTTATACACATATATGTATTAAAGACCAGTACTATTCATTCTATGTGCAAGTCTTCACATTACTGATTAGTTCAACTACAAATTCATTTCTAACACAATTACAGAAATAGTTCTCCAATGGTTTCATGATCACTGATTTGGCCAAAGTTGAGACTTAATTTCCCCAACTGGCATGTTACTGCATTTCTGTACATTCTGACCAGCTTGCAGTATTGGTATTGAGCCAGAGGTCTCCAAACTTGGCAAGCTATGCTGGCTGGGGAGTTCTGGGAGTTGAAGTCCACAAGTCTTAAAAATTGCCAAGTTTGGGGACCCCTGGTCTTTAGGTTAAAATAAAAATTGGTAAATCACATCCTCTCAGTCTGATGTGGCACCATTTGAAGTAGCCTGAACTTCCCCCAGTGCTCCAAGTCATATTTTATGGTTTGCGATACAGAGCAGCTAGAAGTACACATATTATAATAGATACTTCAATTGATGGGGTTGCCACTTAGCATTTGAGACTTCCTGTGATCCAGCGGTTTCAAAGTGTGCTCTGAACGTCTTATGCTTCCTCTGTATAAACTTAGTGAGCCAAGTGCACAATCTTTTTAAGCATGAGGAAGTGGATTTTTGGAAGGGATACTTGTGCCATATCTGTCATCGGACGTTGGCAATCACGTTAGCGATCCTAATCGATTGGAAGTGATAGGATCTGATTAATTGTACTTTTAGTCTTCCTCCCAGAATTATAAGTCAGATTCCTAAGCATACTAAAAAGCAGAGACATCACCCTGCCAGCAAAAGCGCGTATAGTCAAGGCTATGGTTTTCCCAGTTGTAATTTATAGCTGTGAAAGTTGGACTATAAGAAAGGCTGAGCGCCAAAGAATGGATGGAGGCCTTTGGACTGCGAGGCGATCCAACGGGACAGTCCTAGCGGAGATCAACCCTGACTGCTCTTTAGAAGGGCAGATCCTGAAGATGAAAAGGCTGGCTTCCAGCCTTGCTCTCG